TGTTGATTTGAGCTGTCATTTAGGAAATGCAACCAGAAGCTGCAGATTGCAGATGTTCATCCCAAACAGCTTCCTCACAGTGTTCATACACCACTACCACCATCAGCAGGAAACTGGATCCAGAACAAACCTGACTTTCAGTTCAGTTTAGTTTCACACCTGAACTACTGCAGTTCTTTGACAGCATTCCTCCAAACTGAGCTCCTGACCTTCTCATGTGAGTAATAACAAATGAAAGGTACCTTTCTCCTCGGCTAAACCGTAGAGCTCCACAGCAGCCTTGTGGTTCATGGTCATGGGATACTCCACACACACATGCTTCCCTGCCTGTAGGAACATCCTGAAGAGACAGGAGGAGGAGGGTTCTTGGTTCAAACAGGAACAACAAAACGTTCTGAAGGCCATAACAAACGTATTCTTTTGAGTAAACTGTGACACCCATGGCCCTGTACTCCATGTTGCAGGTGATCTTCCACAGCAGCGTTTCAAGCAGCCGAGTGTTCACACATCCAGCAGACACAGCATCCTGCCAGCCTGAACATTCAGCTTACAAGATGTACGAAACCACAGCCTGCAGAGACGATCACACAGCGTCACAGAGCAGCTCAGGACCACACAGGGGGATCAGGTGATAGCCAGTGGACAGAACCCTGATCCAGTTTGTGCTTTCTATTAAAACCACCAGCTGTGGTCCCGCTACAGCTCACCTGGTTGAGCTGGCGTCCCATGAACAGGGGCTGTAGTCCCCGATGTGGAGGTCATGGGTTCGAATCCCGCTAATGGCCCTTTTCTGCAGGTTCTTCCTCCATTCTTCTCCCCACCTTCCTGTCTCTCTCTCTCAACTGCACTCTCAAATAAAGGCACAAAGGCCAAAAAAACCCAATCCACCAGCTCTGTGGCTGCAGGCTGCTCTGTGTGAAGGACATAAATGGACCAGAGGACTGAAGATCAGCGACTCTGCTCCTTTGTCTTCTGACTATTTGGTGTCAGAAGAGTTCAGGGGCTGCAGCAGGCAGATTATAAATGCCTGTGCACATGGATGAGCCCTGATTATATCATCTGGTTCCTACTGACAGCTCTAGGAGGAGGTGATCTAGATCCAGTGGCTCAACAACCATTCATGACCCTTGATGCTGTAGACTCTCTCTTCCTACCTTTACAGGTATTTGTTCACTGTACAGGTGTGTTTAGTGGCACAAATCCAGTTCAGACTCCTTCCAGTTACATATCAGATGTCTCACCTCACGTTGTCTTCATGGGACACGTTCTCAGTGCAGATGAAGGCCACATGGATGTCTTCTCTGCTGATGGCCGCCTCCACGGAGATCTGACTCACTCCCTGCTGGCTGTCTAGGCTCCTCCTGTTGGCACAAACACACCGGGCACATCCATGCTGACATTAAGGTCAGGATCTAGACTGTGCATTCTGAACTGCTGCTCCGGTTTCACGATCGTTGTGTGTAAAAAGATCTGATCCATATGTGATGCACTCTGGTTGGCACCAAGGTGTACCGTGTTGGCTCGGAAGTGTTTATAAGAACCGTGCTTCTCAGTGGACACAGTGACAGGCTGCGAGAACAACACCTATGGAGATGTTCAGTGAAGGCTCTCTATAGCTGAACCTGGTGCAGTCTGATGTCCAGCTCAGCAGTCAAACACAGAACACGGCCTAGAAAGTATCTGTTTTTCTTCTTTGAAGTTTTTCCCTGTTATTGCTTTTCAACACTGAATCCTGGTCGATATGATTTGTCTTTTCAAAAAGACTTTACAAAAAGTCAAAGTAACAACAGATTTCTACAAAGTAATGCAGATGACGTCAAAATATAAACAGGAAACTCTGTGAACAGAGGATTAAGTGTTCAAGCCTGAGTCTGAGCAGAAAGGCCTCCATCAGCCTGCACACCTGGGGATTAGAAGCAAACAGCCCTTTTCAAGTCCACAAATACTTTCTTGTATTGACGTCTGAGTTCTAACCCGGCCGCTCCAGAACAGTCACATGGCGGTCTTTAGCTGTGGCTGCAGCTTTGGGTCCCTGACTTGCTGAAGAGCCTCAGTCCCCCTGCAGACTGCATCAGATCGTCCTCCATCATCTTTCTACACTTTGCTGCAGTCATTCACCCTCTACCTGCACAAGCCTTCCAGGCTGCTGCCAAGAAGCCCCCATGTTATGATGCTGCCACCACCATGCTTCACTGTTTGTGCTGATGTACAGTGTTCATGTCACAGATCTCACTGACGGTTCTGGACCTGCCTCAACAGCAGGAACCGGAGACTCTTTTCTCTTTTCCTGGACAAGGTTGCCCAGACTTGTCCGGCATCTCTGCCCTGGACCTGGTGTAGTTACCTGGATATGAATCCTCTGACAGCCAGCTTCTCTGCAGGACTACCGGGCACTGGAGCCAGCATGTCCCGGATCCTCACCCAGCCCGCAGTGCCAATGCCGACCACCACCGCTCCGAGCATCGTGACCTCCAGAAAGAAACACAGCCGCTCAACAATAAGGCCAACAACATGATCACAACACACTCCAACCCAGGGCCGGCCCTGACCAGTTAGGTGCCCGAGGCAAGACTGTAGGTGGCGCCCCCTAGCGTCACAGTGAAGTTCACTCGTAACTTTTATACAGTAACACAAACTGTCTGCATGTATTCAAGCTTTTGTTTCAGTATAAACAACACACTAAATGAAACTGAAGAAACAAGTGACCTAAATTTAAAATACCATATAAACAAGACTTTGAACAGACATAAAACATGTTCTATAGCTTATCTATGTTCTACTATCTACAGAACAAGGGGCTGTGGACCACTGAGGAATCTGATGTAGAGCTGCTCTTGTTTGATTTTAAACCCTTGCTAGTAAAAAGAAAGATGTTTAGTTTTGCTGTAAAATGTTTCAGTTGCTGAATAAAATGTGAATGAGCTGTTTGTCACTCATTGTCAGTTAGTTTAATGATGAAGCTCTATGGAGCTCAGAAAGTTCAAAGGTTGGTTGGTTGTCAACCGGCATTCACACACAGAGTGAGATCAGGGCAGGTTCACTGTCAACCACATGGCAGGAGGGCAGGAGAACTTAGAGTGCTTCAATTTATCTGTTGAACAATCCTGTATTTTTATATATATATATATATATATATATATATATATATATATATATATATATATATATATATATATATATTGCTATCGTCTGAAATAAGCTAGCAAGTTAGCATTGCTCTGACAACAGGAACTACGATCCATTAACTTAACAGGGTTCTCAACAGAAATGTCTGACAGCGTAGCGGGGGTGTCTTAGCAGCACTCCCTGGCTAACTGACATGTATTCAGGCAAATATTTAACCACAAGCGCCGATGCAGTTTCTCTACCGTGGTCTGCTATTCGTTAGCGAAGACGTTACGTTAGCGTCGTCGCGGCTAACATTAACCGCTAAGACGCTAATGTGACGTCTTTGCTGCTAACCGTAGAGAAACTGCATCGGCGCTTGATGATAAATATTAGCCTGAATACATGTCAGTTAGCCGGGTACAATCAACGTGGAGAAGTGATCATTTTCCCGCTACATACCCTCGAAAACAACGTATCGGTCCAATTAGCAGCGTAATTTTTTCAGGCAGCAGCGCCGTCTCTCTGTTATAAGGCTGGAGACAACTTGCTGAAGCTAATGAATTCCATGGCATTGCCGTTACCGTCTCTTTCCTGTTTTCTTGCTCTTCTTTCTTTCCCTGAGCGCCAGACTCTTTCACACGCTTTATAATGTATAAACCGATCTGAGATCTGCAGCCAAACACCGCCTGTGCATTCCGGCCACGTCCCGTCCTCCGCTTGTGGCGCCCCCCTGTGGATGACGGCGCCCTGAGCATTTGCCTGCACTGCCTATGCCTGGAGCCGGCTCTGCTCCAACACGTGCTGGTGCTGAGCAGGCGGCCACCGGGGGGCGGACACCGGGAGGGTTCTGATTCACGGTACAAACCCTCCATCACAGACGGTATCAGTTGAGGACCGTCAAACGGGCCCAAACGAGTCTCCACCTGCGGGATGTGACCGATGGAAATAACTCGTAGAACCACAATGCAGACATGTTAAGGTCAAGAACGGAGCTTCTCCCTCCGGTGTCCGCCCCCAGCAGCGGTCCGGCCGGTCCTGCTGGTCCCGGCCGGTCCCGCCGGGCCCAGCAGCGAGCGGCTCCGTCCGTCGGCTGTCTTACCTCAGCTCGATCAAACGCAGCTGTTGTCGGTGTGACGGATAGAAGTCAGCTGGACAGAGATAGCCGAGCATGTAGCCGCCAGCAGTCCGCCAGCACCGCCCGGCTCAACACGGGGTGCGCTTGTTATGCTCCACGGCTCAACATCGGTGCGGGCGGAGCTATCAGTACAGAACCAGCTGCTGCTTTAGTCAGTCTGCGAAGGTGACGTCGCTGAAACTTTGTCGGAGCTTTACTGCTGCCAGGGGCTAGTCTCCAGCAGCAGCCAGGCCGAACCGAGCCAGGCTGAGCCTTACTGACGTCAGCTCTTGTTCGGTGGGCATCTTTTATTTCTCTTTGCTCTTTGGGCTGATTGGAGCCTGATCAGGATAAAACTCAACACCACCATGGATGTGGTGTGAGAGTCCACACGTGGCCATGAGGCCTCAGCTCAGCAGAATCAACCCAGCATGTGATGTCCACATGTGGATGCTGGTCTGAGCAGGTTCAGTAAGTGGTGGTGCAATAGGAAGGTTGTAAACGGGCCTCATGTTCCTGCAAGTGGTTCTACAGGCCTCAGTGCATTTCTCTTTCAGCCATTTACACAAACACTGGCTGATGGAGCACTAATGAGACCTGCTGCCTTTAACTCATCATCCTGTTGAGCGGACCTCTGGTAGCGCCGCCGTGATGACTGCAGGAGTGAATGCTGAGTCAGCACAGACTGACACTCTGGTGTGTTTTCAAATGAAAGCCTCCCAGCATGGCTACAGCCAGAAGCAGATGATCTACACTCTAGGTCACGTTCCCATTCTCGATCAGTTGTTCTTCTCACACTGTGGGGATGAAGAGAAGAGGACTGGTTGTATTTCCAGACTCCTGTCGGGGCCACACTGCAGGCCGTTCAGGCTGCAGGTGGTCCTGGTCGAGTTTAACGACGTTTTCAGGTGGAAACGCACAACGAACCACCTGCAGCCTCAGATGCTCGTCCAGCCAGTTTAGGCGTCTTTATGAGCATCTGCCCATACTACAACAGTGAACTCTGAGACTGTTTAACGAATGTCTGGACTGTCTGATATCTACAGAATTCAGAACCAGCGTGAGACGCACCCACACACTGGTGACTGATAACAGCTGCCTGTCTGTACAGATAGCTGTGGTGGGCAGCACCATGCAGGGAGCTGGACACGAGCACGCCGTCACTGTGTCCGCTGGCCGGAGAAAACCTAAACGCCACAACTGGACATAGAGACGGTGGTCATGACGACAGTTACCAGGCTTCATCTACAGGCTCTGTGGTCACAGACGACTTCGACGTTCCATCCATCCATCCATTATCTATACACCGCTTAATCCTCATTAGGGTCGCGGGGGGGCTGGAGCCTATCCCAGCCGACTTAGGGCGAAGGCAGGGGACACCCTGGACAGGTCGCCAGTCTATCACAGGGCTACACTTAGAGACAGACAACCAAGCACACTCACATTCACACCTACGGACAATTTAGAATCACCAATTAACCTCAACATGTTTTTGGACTGTGTGGGAGGAAGTCGGAGAACCCGGAGAGAACCCACGCTGCACGTGGAGAACATGCAAACTCCACGCAGAAAGATCCCAGTGCCCCCACCGGGACGCGAACCGGCAACCTTCTTGCTGCGAGGCAACAGTGCTACCAACTGTGCCACCCTGCAGCCTGACTTCGACGTTAATCTCCATTATTTAACCACAGAAACAATAATGCATTAAATAAATAAGGTGTCTCACTTCTCTCATTTCTCTCATTCCTGGCACACCAGTCACACCGATGCACAGACTTTAGCCAGCAGGTGGCGCTAATGCACCCACAGTTTGTTTGCCAGCTGCATAGAAGATGCTGATGAAGACCAGACTGCAGTGCTGGGCTGGTTGGGTGAAAGGTGTTTGTTTGTTTGTTTGTTTGTTTGTCTTTTAACTTCCAGATGCAGCTTGGATCAGAGCTGGTTGTTTGCAAACTGGGCAACAAAGAGTTAAAAAGTCTGAACATGTTCAATATAACATACATGTATTTGTATATGTGTGTGTGTGTGTGTGTGTACCTGCGCTCTGAGTTTGCTCTAATCTGTGACTGCAGTGGATGCAAACACAGATGAAGAGCTTCTCGTGTACGTCTGTTCATCAAGTCAGTCGTCACCAAAATGTGTCTGAATTAAAAAGCTTTGTTTTTGTTTTGTGTGTCAAATATTCCTGTTTGATAAAAATATGATTAATTAATCTAATTAATTAGATACATTTTTAATCATGTCCCACCACTAATACACACACACACACACACACACACACACACACACACACAACACAACAACAACAACAACAACAACAACAATAGCTGAAGTACAGTAAGTGGAGTAACTGCTGAAAACAAACCGGACTAAATTATTCGGATGTCCACCGTCCGCTTCTTCTCTCCTCAGGGACACTCCGAAGACTGAAAGGAGCGCCCCTTCACACCCGATTGGTCGCAGCCTGTGTGACGTATGCGGTAGTAGAGCGGCAGAGTCGACAACAAGGTGAGTGCTGTGACCACAGGTCTGTGAAATAACGGCTGGAGCTGCAGGCTGCGGCTGTTTCAGCACGACTCACTGTCCGAGAATCAAGTGGAACAAAGGTTTTCCTTTTAGTCTGATTTATACCCGTCAGTTTCACTCATAAAGATCCCAGATAAAATGATAGGCGACCCGGAAGTCCCGTTAAACCGTCAAAATAAAAATGAAACGTGTTAGAAACGCCGGCAGAGCGCTTAGTGGGTGAATCCGTTCACAGCTGGAGATAAACGTTCGGGTCATAAATATATATATGTATAGAGATTATTTTAGTTAAAGGGCTACTAATTAATGTTTTGGAAACCATGAGAGCTTCACAGAGTTTCTGTCCAAATGGACAACATGTGTAGAGCCACCAGCAGGTGTCACTAGCAACCACCGTGGAGGTCAGACGGTTAAACGCTGACAACACGGAGACATCAGCGGAGGATGTACATGCTGCTGTGGACTGGTTCTGCTCCAGATGTGAAACTGATGGGACAGAAATGTTCTCCTCTGAAGGAAACAATAAATCTAATGTGTTCTCAGAGGTCCAGAACCAGAACTCACGCACCACAACACGCAGCACAGTGTGACCAAGAGTCCCGTATTACAAAACCCACTCAGGTGTTGTGTGTATTAACGACCAGTGTGGTTCCCTGTCAGGAGAAAGATGAGGGTCTCCACCAGCCATCTGCAGCAGCTCACCATCTTCACCACGATGCTGACCGGTGGAGGGGTCGGCACCATGTACTACCTGCTTCAGAGTGAGCACAGCGTTCTGTTCTTGTGTTCCATTTATTTCTTATTGGTGCTTTTACCTGCTGCTGTCTGAGCTTCTGTCCTCAGTAGTTTCACCTGTCTCATGAGTCACCTGACGTTCTCTGTCTTTGTCCTGCCTCCTGTCAGACCTTCCCTCCTCCTGGCTGAAGCCTTCCCATGTCCCTTATCTGTCTCCAGTGTGCATGATGTCTGTGTTTCTGTGTTTCTTGCTTCAGAGCTTCGTTTCCAGTCTGTCCATGAAGTCAGTGCGGGCTCTTTTATCTGTGCTTCTGGGGAAAAGTGGAGCTTCTTAAGTTTTTTATTCTTGAGTTCTGTAGTTTTATGTGTCTGACCTAAAACTCACTTTAACTTGATTTGTGAGTTCAGTAGCTTTCATATCTGACTCTGTGCGTAACAGTTCAGCTGCTCATAGCGTCTCCACAGCCTGGATGGTGTCCATGAGCCACCAGCTGTGGCCTCAGCTTCTGCTGAATAGAAACCTGCTGCTAGAAAGTTTTTATGGCCAATGCACAGTAAAGCAGCGTTTTGTTCACTCCCATGTACCTTTCTGTCCAATTAGAAAGGTTTGCTGAGTCAGACTACCACAGACTGGCGCTGCAGGAGCTGGAGGCGTGTGTGGTTGCCATGGAGAGCCTGGGGGCTCCACCTCTGAAGGTCCACAACATCCATCTGACTGACAGGAGCAACCGTGTAGCTCAGCACACTGCACAGGTAAATATAAAAATGCATGAGGGTGTTCCTGCCATGATGAGAGAGGAGCAGGAACCTGTTGATCACTGAAGCTAAAACACTACTTTCACCACTCAGTGCATCTCAGTACAGGTGCTTGTTTCTGCAGCTGCACATCAGAGCTCTACAACGTCAGACTTCATTCATTTGAACATGATATTAGGGAGGTGCATTTAGGGCTGGCACTGTCCCATAATGGAGGACATATGGAGATCACTTTAGTTTTTGGGCAAATCAAAGTGAATTTAATGTTGATTGAAGATTCATTGTGAAAAATACCAATAAACTCATCTGTTTTCTAATGAGGGTTTTTTATTAGCTGCAGTGGAGGCAGTGTTTTTTTCGGCATCGCCGACTGACTCCATGTGGGGTGCAATGCATAGACTGTACCAGAATATTACACCATAAAGGGTTAGTTAACAGTAAAATAGCGCCATCACATAAGCCTCGGTCACACCCGGCCGTATGGCTCCTACGGCCCGTCTGCGTCCAAAATACCTGCAAAGTGGAACGTGCCACGCAAGGAAAATGTGGAGGTCTCAGACAGCCCGCGAGCTCATAGGGAGGATCTCTGACACGTCAAAGAGATTCTACGACTTCTCTGCGAACAGCGACACAGCGACTGCAACCTGCTCCCCGCCAGGAGTTTGCTGGTGAGACGTGCAGTTTTATAAATACTGTGGGAAGAAAATCCGTGGTTTAAGATGCACGTCAATGAGGGAGCAAGCGCCCCCATGTAAATGGTAAATGGACTGCACTTCTAAAGCGCTTTACACTGTTTCTCATTCACACATTCATACACCAACAGTGACAGAGCTGCTGCCTGCCATCGGGAGCAACTTTGGGTCCAGTGTCCTGCCCAAGGGCACTTGGACTGTGGAGGGGATTGAACCACCAACCTTATGATCAGAGGACAACGCTCTACCACCTGAGCCACAGCCGCATGGCGCACACACTCACAGCTCAGGAACTAAATCAAACGCACGGCGGGCGCACATCACCCCACACCACGAGTATAAAAGGCGCGCTCACGGCGCACGCTCACGTTTCGCCAGTCATCGTCCATTATCTATACACCGCTTAATCCTCATTAGGGTCGCGGGGGGGCTGGAGCCTATCCCAGCCGACTTAGGGCGAAGGCAGGGGACACCCTGGACAGGTCACCAGTCTATCACAGGGCCACACTTAGAGACAGACAACCAAGCACACTCACATTCACACCTACAGACAATTTAGAATCACCAGTTAACCTCAACATGTTTTTGAACCTTGTGGGAGGAAGCTGGAGAACCCGGAGAGAACCCACGCTGCACGGGGAGAACATGGAGACTCCACGCAGAAAGATTCCGGTGCCCCCACCGGGACGCGAACCGGCAACCTTCTTGCTGCGAGGCAACAGTGCTACCAACTGCGCCACCCTGCAGCCCCCAGTCATCATCGATTGCGTTATTGCTTCAAACAAATAATAGATATACCATAATCTAATCAGATGTACGGCTCAGGACCCTGGACAGCACAGCGCCACCTGGTGGCTGCATGTCTCAGCGCAACGGCCGCTTCTTCTGTCACCGCCTCAGTGTGACTGGATGGAAACATGTGATCACGCTCATTGTTCATCATCAACGGCACAGTGGCCACATGTTTCCTCACACAGAATAGCAGACGTGATAACTCAGTCAGCAGCTCACTGATCCCAGTGCATCCATGACTTTCTCTGAGCGTTCCGTCTCTTCCTGAGTGGTGAGTGTGTGCCAGGTAAACTCTAAAAGTGAGAACAGTTTGCTGCTTCATGGTCCAGGCCTCTGTTGTTGTGCTCTGCGGGATGCTACAGCTAAACTACTGCTACGACTGTTGAGACTATCAGTCCTTCCTCTGCTGTCTGACCCGTGTGTCTTTCATCACTGTGCTGAGTCAACCAAACTAGCTTCCACTTGCATTGTTTTGCAGATAAAGATCCCTGTAACTGGGTCCAAAACTGGGGGCTACCTGTATACGTCTTCATGTAGAGACCCTGATAGCAACAGGTGAGTGCCCCGCAGGTGATGTGGAGATGGATCGTTGTTCAGTCTATTGTAACAGTGGTGTGTTATGTACGGGACTGATGGGTGTTCAGTGTGTGGCAGCCAGTGCTTTGACAGTCTGGTATGGGTCATACGGCTGATTCATACAATATCTTCTCCCTCAGCATCAGCGTGACACGCATGTGAAACAGTAATTAGTCTCATGGAAATCAGTTTTATTGTCACATTTTGAAAGCAGTGTGTCTGAACACGTGATGTACTGTGACAGCGCCATGGGGAAAATGAGCTCTTTAGCTGATTATCTCCACATATCCCAAATAAACCTGGGATATGTGGAGATCTAATGCATTTACATAGTCGGTGCCTGGTGGGTACTGATCTGGACAAACTGTGTCTGTCCCTCCCTGCAGGTGGCGTCTGAAGGAGGCAGTTCTGAAACTCAGGGAAGGACAGACCATCGACCTGCTGGATCCTCCACCATCTGCTTTACCAACAGCAGAGAACAGACAGGCTGTAGAAACAGGGCGCTGGCATGAATCATGAACTCATGACAATAAACAAAGTGGAAGCAGTCTAACGGGTCCTGTAAATGCAAAATGTTCACCCAGTGGCAAATCCTGAACTCTGTCATTAAGGAGAAAGCAGCACATGCAGCTGTTCCAGCACCACTGGGCTTCCAACTCACTGTTCTGGATCGTTGTGCTGCACCTATGAGTTCTTTTTGTATATTTCATATATATACATATATATATATGTGAGTGTGCTTGGTTGTCTGTCTCTAGGTGTAGCCCTGTGATAGACTGGTTACCTGTCCAGGTGAACCTGCCTTCACCCTGAGTCAGCTGGGATAGACTCCACCCCCCCATGGCCCTGGTGAGGATTAAGGTGTAGAGATGATGGATGGATTATATATATATATATGTATGCATGTATGTATGTGTATAAAAATGCAGACATGTTGTTAAACCGACTCTTGTGTTGAACTGTTTAGTCGTTGCTGTTTGAGTTTTTACTTTGTTTTCTTTTTAAATGGTAAATTGTCTGCACTTACATTAGCTTTTATTCAAAGCGCTTTACAATCTGTTTCTCATTCACTCATTCACACACCAGTGGCGACAGAGCTGTCATGGGGTTAGGGGGTTAGGGTTAGTGCCTGCCTGCCCACAGACACATGGACATGTGGACGTGTGGAGGGCGGGGCATCGAACCAACAACCTTGCGATTAGTGGACCAGCAGCTGTGCCGCCTGAGTCACAGCCGGCCACCATAACATGAGGCAAGAGATGCTGTGAAGAAAACCCTCAAATAAGAAAACAAAACCATCTTAGAGCTGCTGAAGCTGTGTGCTCGGCCTACCGTTTAGATCACAGCTCGCTGGCGTCACAGCCCTCGTCTCACCCGACCCCCCCTCAGTCTGCTTCTGGCTGAGGTTCTGTTTTCTCCTCCCCGTTATAGGACTTCGTCTTTTCTTTTTTTTTCGGTCCCTTCCTGCCGTCTGCTGGCTCACAGGGAATCCAAAAGCAACTCTGGATTGTTGGCGTCTCTGTTCTTTGTTCTGAATTGGTCGGTCTGTGCGTCACCATGTGAATGCTACGAGAGGACCTGTGGTGTGAACGGGCGCTTCATGAATAACATTTAAATTAACTGAATTGAACTGAAAGCATATCCTACGTGGTGTGCCAGAAAATATATATTTCAAACCCAAACTACAAACTAGGAGTTTTGTCCTTATATAGAACTAAATGAAGACTGACAGGGCGTCAGGCTCTGGGACGTGAAGCCAGTGCAGAAGTGATTTTAAGCTGCGTTCTTCTACCAGCGAGCTGGAGGCCAGAAAGAAGTCCGACCTTATAGAAGAGAGGGTTCGGGTTATAGATGATAAAATGACTTTGTTTATAACTTGGTACGCATCTTCCTAATGAGCTTATTATTTTTGAGGTTATTCTAATTTGTACCTGCTCAGCATGGAGTCGCTGACACAAGGAGCCATTTGGTGTCTTTTCCAGTCCTTCAAGAGGAACCACGTAGGACGAACAACGAGGTGACACCTGACTGTAGAGACAGTTCAGCTACAGCTGTATTCAAAAGATGAGTTATTTTAGTCATAATAAGCAGTGAGTACACACTCCACACATATCTCAGCAGCATCTTCTTAAACATGTGTCATAAGAAGTCCTTTGTCTTTGAGGGAGAGCAGAGAGGAGCCACATCAGACGGTACGTCTGTATGTCAGTACTCAGGGAGACTTGGACTCGACAGTTGTCTTCTGTATGTGCAGAGGCTGAACAGGCAGCAATGACTCAAGTGAAACATGTGGGACAAGGTCTCAGATGAACCTTTATTTGGACACAGAACACAACATGCAGTCTGAGTGAGCAGCTCCTCCAGCTGCTCTGCGAGGTGGTCTTTATCTCCAGAACCCGTCAGACATTCTGCGGGTGTAAATATGTAATTAAAGCATTTCATTTTACACAACGTCAACAAAACAAACCAAATGTGCATCACAGGCAGGAATCATGGAGACGCCGTCAGGAGCTGGAACCAGTCGCTGTAGTTACAGTTAGGAAGATATCTTTGGTTTAACTTGGTTTCCTGGTTAGCTGCTGCTAACTGCTACCCTGCTCCAGTTCAGTGGATCAGACCAGACCTGGTCAACAAGCCCACCCACTGACCAATCAGATCCATGTCCAGGCCTGCAGGCTCTGGACAAGGAGAACAACACTGGCTTTACAACAACAGAAACATGCACGACCAGAGTCACGACCTGATAACAGACGTGAACCACAGCCAAACAACAGCTGGACGGGTCACTGAACGGAGCGTGTGTTTGATTTATAACATCTCCATGAGCGTTTACTGAAAGCTGGATGGCTTTTACACACACGAGGACTTTCTAGGATTTTCTAAATGCAACGTTCTGACCAAGTTCATCTTCTCAAGTTTTTTTTCCCTTGAGCTAAATATATATATATGTATTTTAAAATCATTTTCAGCTTTCTGGAACAACATTTAGAATGTTTCAGAACACAGTCCAGTACATGTCTATGAATGCTGTGTTGGTGGGTGGACCTGGATCAGGTCTGGTAGCCTGGAGGAGACCTACAGACTGGTTCAGTCCATCGACAAATCCACATTCCAGGGTTTCATTTTAAAATGCTGGATGATAATTTGAGAAAAAAAGGTAACAGCAAAGCCTCATTATGTTTCATACATTAATATTTGTTTATTAGTTTAGTTTTGGTCAGAGCTGCTGTCCAGTCTAAAGATGTCTCATCTGACAGTGAGCCAGTGATCCAGGAGAACTGTACGTCCTCAGACAGAGCTGCTCATGGTCCGACACCATCACAAGAACACTGGCAGATACTAACAGATGCAGAACCTGAGGGACACGGCTGCTATCTTGTCTTCTGTTGCTGGGTTTAGGTTGAAAGTTCAACAGGGTCACAGCTGAACAGGAAGTTGGGCGTTCATCATTTCTTGCGTGGCACCTTTTCACCAAGTGGTACTTCATCCATCAGTTTCTGGAGAAAAACCACAGAATTAAACATGGCACTTCCACATGAATCCATGCTTTTTCTTGTTCAAAACTTCCAGCCTCAGCATTGTTGTTCTGTCACTGAAGATGAATTAGCATGATGGAGAAATCCCAAACCTCTGAGCCACGGGGAGCTCATGGGGAGACCAATAATCAGTATCCAGCAGAGCTCAGGTACAACATTTGCTAAAAACCCTGAATACTGGCGATGAGATAAAGGTGTCAGAGCACACAGTGCATCACAGACTGCTGTGTAGGGCGGCGTGGACCACTGGTTGAATGGAGGACGGTGGCCTCGTGCGTTTCCATGTCATCACATAGACAGCTGGGAATAAGCAAAGAAGCTAGCAGAGACAGTGTGACGCTCTGGGAAATGTTCTGGTGGGAAAACGTGGATCCTGCTTTCATGTGCATGCTACTGGGACACCGACCACTGACTACACGCTGTTGGAGATCCAGCCCGTCATGGCAGCAGGATCCAGCAGCTTAGTGCTTCCTGCTGCACAGAGATCCAGGCACGGTTTAAGGAAAACAAAAAAAGAATTCAATGTGGAGTTGTTCCATCTCAGATCCTCAGGGGCTCACCCCTGACCTCCTCAAAATGTTCATATCATGAACTATGAATATATAAAGGAGGATCTGAATGTTCAGGTTGATGCATTAAGAACTTTTTAAAAAAGTTTCCTGCACTCCATGAGGTCATGTTTAAATAAATCAGGACTTTCAGAGATAAAAGCCAGAAATATTCAGTGCTGTTTCTCGTCATGGCACCGTCGATCACATGAGCTCTGGTTCTGGGTGAATTGAAATTAAAAAAACAAAAAACCAAACCCTGAAACGGTCATGACAACTCCCATCTCTGAGTCAGTCAGTGATACGTGAACCTCATGGTCTAGTTACACAAACCAATGTACGTATGGTTTTTAAATGTAATTTAAGTGAATCTAATTTGATGCTGTCATGAGAAAGTCGGGTTCCAGAGATGCAGTCTGAGGACCTACTCCTGAAATCTGTTCTGTTCCCACTTGATCTGTTATTTTTTTCTTTACAGGCTCTGCCAGGTTAAACCAGCCAATAGTGTAGAAGTGCACAAAAAAGGAAAGTTAGAGAATAAATATTAGTTGTAGTTCCAGATGTGCTGGTTGGTTGCTTATGTGTGGAGTCGACACGACCCTGCAGAGGAGGAAGCAGTGCAGAGAGCAGGGATGGACTTATGAACGATTGTCATTTGAATCATCTCACAGTGGCTCTAACATCTGGAATTTCTCCTTTACATGTGCAAGCCTTCTAACAGGAACAGCATCAAAACAAGAGACAAACTTGAGGTAAAAACATCAGAAACTCTTCCAGACTGAATCAGATGTAGAATCACGATAACTGACATGAAGCTCGTTACTGTTGTTGCAGGTGTGTTGGGGACCCAGGGAGGGGCAGTGAGGGCTGTGCTACTCTCAGGTTACTCCTCTGAACAATATTAATGCCTGTGTTCGACACACAACAACAGATGTCTACATCTGAACCAAAGGTGGCTGGCAGAGTTAGAGACCACTGACCTCCAGCAGCCTGCAGTAGAAGGTGAAGGTGTCCTCTCCGTCCCGGCGGCCATCATCCACCTTGTACCTCCTGCAGGCCAGTAGCAGCTCGGTGGAGCTGTAGAGGGGGGCGGGGTCGATGGAGCTGCTGTTGATCAAGCTGACCAGATACTCCCGGTAATGCTTCCTGGACACCACAACACCACCAGACTAGCATTAGCATAGAGCAGAGCATGTGATGCTACTACTGAGATTAAAACCACATATTGGTGAGCAGCTGACAGAGCAGCGGTTCTGTGATCGGACAGGAAGGTGAGGGAAGGACCTGCAGCAGACGGCCATGAGCGGGATGCCAACAAACTCCATTCTGTTCCTTTTTTCCTTTTTTTGGTAAATTCTTGTCAGAAAAACCCAACAAATTAAACTGACAATGATTCAGTGCTGACAAGCAATAACAAGGGGGACGTCCAAAGGGGTGAGTGGTTTTTATCTAGTGATGCTGGTCACGCTGACCGGCTAGATGCTGGACTAGACCTCACAGATCCACCAGCCTCTGCTACAGGCCCGTTCAGTGGCCTGAGCACCACACAGCTAGTTTAAACCAAGTCCAGTGTAGTCATGTGTCTGTATGTCATCTCACTAATAAATGAAGGAATCTGTGTCTGCACGTCTGCTCTTTGCCTTTCTGCACAACCGTTCGTACTTCACGTTGGGCAGGTGTATTGCTAGGTGTCAAGTGAGAAGTTATTCAGGTGAGCGGCGGCCATGTCTTTGCTAAAAGCTGTGTTGTGTTGAGCGTCCAGATCAGGCCTCTGGCTGCCTGGAGGTGGAGCCACGCTATGCCAGTGACAGACTGCAGCCTGTCCAGGGGGTCCCCAGCCTTCCCCCAACAATTCATCACACAGAGCAAAGGTTGGGCGAATGATTGAGAGAGATTGATGTTAAGAGCAAATAAGCCTGAATAAAGCCGTCATACTCGCAGAGTCCAGCATGTCCCGGTTGGGTCTGAGCTCCACAGGCGGAGTCTGGCTGCTGCCCGCCCTCATCCTTCTGTTCTATCACCCCACACAGGCCTGAAGAAAGAAAGGAACGAGGTTATGGGACAAGAAATGACAAAGCAAGGAGCAAAAGGGTAATGGACCCACAAAATGAACAACTCTTACAAAACCAGACGCTTTGGAAAGGATGTCCTGTCTGACCTGTTTTTACTGCTCGGATCTATTCCAGCTTCAACTAAAATCAGACACGTATAATTAGGAATGATGAGTAAAGGGACTGTTGCTGTGTTTAAAACATACACAGTCCCTGATAACCAGACTGAAGCCGTGCCAGCTGTGTTCAAAGGTGCCTGGACCACGTCAGCTTGGAAATTTCAAAAGCTGTATCATAACTACAAACCAAATGTAAGGACAGAATCTCCATCTGCCAATCAAAGCCATCATGTGAGTTTGTCTCCAGATGTGAAACCACTATTTTCACAAAGGATGAGCTCACACAGGAAATGCTGTGGAAGACGGCCGGGCCGCTGGAAATACCAAGACACACAGAAAGCACTCAGAAATAGTGATTCTAAATTAGAATCATAAAAACTGATGGATGAATTCTGAGTTAGACGTCTGGCCACCTGCACAGAACCACCTTCACTCTGTTGGTTGTGTGACTTTGTGCAGGTCTGAGGGTCCCAGAGGACCCCACTTCACTAATGACATGATCAGAGGTGATGAACGAGACGTGGAGACACGGAGGATGTTCACACTTCAGATAGCAGCTCCTCTCTTAGCTGTAATGGCACCATCATGGTTGTTGTTTTCATCTTATTTTTTATCATTTTAATGGTCTCTGGAGAAGGAACAAGAACTACTGCAAATTATGAGAAACGTTCCACTTGCACATGGGTGGACTTCCTGTTTCCAGTTATCAGGCTCTCTACTGGACTCCTCTGATTTGAATGGGACTGGGCTCTCGTCACTTTAAAGATTTCAAAGTAAATAAAACATGTTATATGTCATGACACGGCTTTAAAAAGGTAAAAGACACGGTGGGAAGTGTTGTCCTACCTGTCTGTGTTACAGGAGGAGGCTCGGTGTTGAAGGCCACTCCGTTGTTCTGTGAGTCCAGAAAGAACAACCAACAGTTATTTATCACACTGAGGTGCAAAACCCAACATGAGACAAACCTCAGAAAGCAGAACGGAGAACACATGACAACAGGAAGCCTCCACATCCAGACTGGTGTGGTGCTGGTCTCTCCCCTTTCCCCCAGGTGGGCGTGAGCGTGGCGTAAAATAAAAGCCACTGACCACTGCTCAACGCCGGACTGCAGAACTGGCCCGTGTTCAGTTTCTAATCAGTTCTGGGTTCTTTTACAACTAATCATTGCATCTGGTGCCTCAGTTCCTGAGCCTCCCCGTACGCTCCATGTGAAGCCTGCCAGCCATCCACCTTTACCTGGTCACTCCTGGAGACCTCCACCACGCCACCTACACTCACCTTCCTTCCTCTCCATCCACTGCTACCTTACTCACTTTCTGTTTAGTCCATATTGTTTAGTGCTTGTGTATTTTCGGCGTGCTGGCATCGGCTTTGTTTGTCACGTCAGGTGCGCTTTATTTAATCCTGAGTTATCCTAGTTTGGTGGTACCGAGGCCCGGTTAGTCCCCTCACTGGAGATCATTGTTCACTCTTGTTGTCTGTCTAGTCGCTGTACACTCTGGGCTGGAGCTTGTTTCCTGCCAGTTCTCGTGTGTTTCAGTGTTTCCTGTATGTATTTTGTAAACTCATAGTGTAAACTTTAATTCTTGTTGCCGTGTCTCTGTTGCTCCTGAGTCTCTGACCCGATCCGTAACACCCCATAGATGTATTGGGTACTATTCCTGTGTGCACACTGTTTCTGGAGGTTCATATTTCAATGCAGTGCACACCACAGACTAGTTTCAATCACCTCCATTACACGGAGCTGCATGGAAAAGTTTTTTTAGGCGACAGACTGTTTCTATGTGAAACAAAGACCACTTGTAGAAAGATTCTCTGATAATAACTCCTTTATCTAGTACCCCTGAAGCTGGTGGTGCCTTAAGCAGCTGCCATACCTTCCTATGGCTAACCACAGCCTGAGCACATGAGGTGTGTCTGTGTGTATACATCTGTACCTTCAGTAAAGCCTGCAGTCTGGAAGGTTCCCAATCCCTCAGATAAAAGAGGCAGTCTCTGGGATGATGGGCGTGGAGTCCCGTCACACTGCACTCATCCACTGCACAGGTCTGGAGTCAGAGGAGGAGACACTGTCACTGTTTAAGTCTGTCACATCACCGCTATAAAAACCCTGAGAAGTTTCCCCCGTTAGTCATTCCAGGTCATGAAATGTAGTGATTACACAAACGTACATGTTTATTAAAGAATCCTGTTTAGAGCCTGTGCACCAGTTAGGAGGCTGTAGCCTGAACACGGCACTTACTGGAGTCCTGAACTGGAGTCACCACTTAACAAGTGCCTACGTAGAGGATGAGTGTGGATGACTGCAGAACACTTGAAGGTTTGGCCAGAACCCGAGCTGATGGACAGACGTGCTGAGACGGCAGTGAAAAACGGCAGCTCATAACAAAGAGCGGCAGAAGACGAGGTAGGTGGAGCCAGCCAGCAGCAGGCGGAGTGCACGTAATGAAGCGAGGCATAAGGTTCGGTCAGAGGGTGACAGAACAACGTGGCGAGAATCGATGGAGAAGTCAGCATTCTTAGACTGCAGAAGTTGACCAGGTAGGCTGCCGGCTGCCTGTCCTGTAGGGTGAGGCCACGCCCAGAGACCAGAACACACAAGCATCCTAACCCTACATGGAGCCATCACAAAGCTTCCTAAAACCAGTCCTTGGCCTTTTCCTGCTGCACAGGTAGCCTTTGACAGTTTAATCACATTTTCTAAATATCTTCAGTATTATTTTACTACCAAGGACCACACCACAATCAACTGAGTTTAGAGATTTAATGAGGAAAGACAGTGTTGGGGGATGTGGAAGACAATAGGATGTACGGACGGTAGGATGTAAGGACGGTAGGATGTAAGGACGATAGGATGTAAGATTGATAGAATGTAAGGACGGTAGGATGCAAGGATGATAGGATGTACGGAC